AGTTCGACCATCGATTTCGTTGCCGTCCACCATATGCCCAAAAGCAGGGATGATGACTGTAGTCAGATAAAGTGAAAGTAGACGCTTTAAACCCTTACCCGTTTGAACCGGTACGAAGACGAATTCAAGATGACCGAACGAGCGCGGGCATAGGCTGCTTTCTCCTATGCAGGCCAGAACACCGCTTAACTTAGACTTTTGAGCTAGTACTACCGCACTATGTACACTCACTCACCTTCAGCAGGTGTCAAGACCGACTGAAGGAATCCAAGGCTGGTACTGCTACTACTACTATTTCTACTGCTACTAACTAGGACTGTGGCTGAGTGTTAATCATACAAGCACTATTTCTGCAGTAAGTATTTGTCAGAGGTGTTGCTGATTAAAAACAACGCTGGGGCTCATCTAACCTCGATCTCAACCAGGAGTTCGCCTTGATTTCCGCTCTCTCAGCTCTGTCGACCAAAAGCTGTCATGTTTTACTTAGTTTGGGCTAGAATACTGCTGCTAGAGGTAATATGCCACTACTATGAGTGCTAATTCTATTAATCAGACTTACTAAGATCAGCGGAAAGTATATTCTAGTAATATATCCCTATAATCGTATAAATAGCTGACATGCATTCTATTTTGTAGCAAGAATAACAGATGGGAAGGTGAGCTTACGCGCGTCCTAAACTTCATCTGGGCTGATATGTAAGACACCCGGGCGAGCAATCACCTCCGGCAAGTAAGTAAGACTGTCAACAATCTTGCAGGATAGAAGAGGAATGATGACTGGTAATAGGCTGTTTTGCAATACTTTTAGAGGGGGCCTCAAACACTCATGCCCCCTTCTCCTTTACGCGTCCGCAGTTTTGTGTAACAGTGGGTCATGCTTTTGCGGCTTTGATACTTCACCTGGAAATCATATATAGCCATTCTGTAGAAGTAACCTCTGTGGCACGGAGTACTGATCGAGAGTACATGATATAGCATACTTGAAAGTACAGGTCCTATCTAAAAGCCCAGACACGCTTTTCGTCGATATATTGCCGCTGCATGACAAAGCTGCGAGGGGGTTCAGCTCGTCAGTGCCGTGTGTAGTATCGGTGTTGTCAGTATATTCTATCATGTAGCTTATCTCTATGCTACTGGCTACCTGTTGATAGTTTATAAATAATGTCTGTTTCTCTAACTATGCTTAGTGCCATCGGTCAAAGTATTCATACAAACTGTCAGTCTGGGTCTAACAAGCTTAATTCAGAGTAATTTACTGCAAGTTTGTGAGTAATTTCTGAGGAACGTAAAAAAGCTGCAGTATTGGTTTGCTTTCAGTGAACTATGAAACACGTTTTTTTCTGTAAACAAGCCTGTTTCAGAGCTGCACCAGTCGTATAGGCATGCTTTCAGCACAGACGAACGAGATTTTTCATTCTTGAACAGCGTAGCTTTGAACAATATCAATTATTGTCAACGCATGTAAACGGAAGGCACCGATGGAAAGGAGTAAGAATGGTCTATCGATTCTCGCCCGGGAGAAAGAATGTAATCGCTGCGAGAGTAGGTTCCTTCGTTAGAATCTGCTCACACCCTGGTGATAGTTTCCCAGTTATTATTTTTAGGCCGAATTTTTTAACTAACAATGCTATTAATCTTCAATTAACGAATGAAAATAAGGATTTTGAGAAGGATCGCAGTGACAGTAACTTTATCTGGTACGAGCAGACGAAAATTACAAACTCTAGGAAAGTATTTAGACAGATAGCCCACTTAGAAATTGATGAGAAGGGTACCTTACTACTTTGTGAGTCACTGCAGATAATAAGCTGGTGGCCGTTTACTTATTATCTGCAGCGGCATCTGCTATACCCTCACGAGTTCGCTGAAGATATATATGTATATTTTTTTTCTCTGTCTCCCCTGAAAGGCTTCCTCGAGGTCGCTTTTCGTGTCCTCCTTTGGGAACGCTTCTTCACCGACAATCTGCGCAACTTTGCCGACCTCTGCAGCGTGGTCAACATCTCGGTGTTCGTGCTGGCACAGCGGAATTTCGGCTACTACATCCACGGACACTCGCCGGCGGGCAAAGCAGAGGTCAATCTTCCCGGCATCGTCTCCATCCTCTCATCGGCTCAGTGCGACGCCATTCCTCGCCGGGGCATCTCACCAGACTCCGACGACCATACTTACCTGATGGCACTGCCCAGTGGGCTTTACAGCAGCCTTGAGCGTCTTTTGGCACCCGCGAGGAACACTGCGGGCGCCATGAATGTGTCCAGTGGCCTGACTCACGAGACTGGACAGGCGGTGAATAGGTTCCTCATCAGCTTCATTTCTCGGGTGAGTGTCTCGATATATTGGATCACCCTGACAGAGAGGGGGAA